GAGTATATGCTGCCCAGGGTGCACCACGTGAAGGTAAGTCTATCACGCACCCTCCCTTTCAAATTTATAGGATGCGTTAATAAAACTAACGTCAATGGTGGCCTTCTCTGCGTACCTCTGAAGATTATCGAAATTTTTCCCAACCTATCCTTCATATTAGATTAGATTGAAGTTTAAACGATAAAGGTTAATGAAAATTAAAAGTGAAGGTGTTTGAAAGCTTGTATTAAAAGGGAGGCGAACGAATGCCATACTACAATTTGATTGTACTTAGCAAAATATTGGACCATAGGCAGAACGGAAATGGTGTAAAATATGAAACTTGAATAGTGTTGGTTTTAAAACATGGAACTAATCAAGAAGCAAAGCAAAAATATCGTCGAAATTAAATCCTTCCAAATTTAATAAATACCACTAACTGTAGTTGTTGTGAAAATTTTTATTTATTTCATTAGCCATTTAGTTGATTTCAGGCTTCACAGAGAGGAGGTGGAACATCAAAGTGACAAAAGTCGAGAGGGGGGAAAAGAAGAGCGATTCACAGATGTAAAAGAGGCAGACAGACACAAGGGTAGAGAAAAAGGTAAGATGAGTACTGTGAAAGGGTCGAATATGACAAGTAGTCGGCCATGGAAGTTTGAAGTGAGAAATATGAGCATACGTTGCCCAGGGTGCACCAAGTGGCGGTAAGTCTATCGCACACCCCTGTTATGGAGAATATTAATCATTGAAATAAGCTAAAGTAATAGGAGACATATTGGCGATATCTCGACTTCATAAGAATATGCCTTTTAAATGATTGCCATAAAGATCACCTCCATCGCTCTGAGAGAATTCTCTACAGGAACATTGCTTGACTATCTTCTTAGCATTTTTCAAGATAACGCGATTAAGCTGTATCAAAGCCGTCACCTCAATTGCTTTTCCGAAAAACCCTAAGCCCAAAATTTAAGTCTCCTATGGTTTAGTGATGCAATATAGTGTTGAGAAATAGAAATTTGTTAATTTAATACAAATTTAAATCTTTACGATAGTTATCACTAGCCCTTTAGTTGACTTGGGGCATCACAGAGGCGAGGAACATCAAAGTTACAAAAATGCTTCACAGAAAGGAAGATGAACATCAAAGTGGCAAAAATCCTTCACAGAAAGGATGAGGAACACCAAAGTGGCAAAAAGTCATACATACAGAAAGGAAGAGGAACATCAAAGTTACAAAAATTCGAGAGGGTGAACAGAAGAGTGATTCACAGATGTAAAAGAGACAGGCAGACACAAAGGTAGGGAAAAGGTAGGGTGAGTACTGTGAAAGTGGTGGAATATGTCATACAGTTGGGTCATGGTAGCTTGAAGTTAGAAGTCTACTGCCGGCTTATGGACATTTTGTTGCATGAGCACAGGCTGCCCAGAGTGCTCCACGTAGAAGTTAATCTATCACGCTTCGCTTTTGAAACAGATATTATACCAAGGATTTATATTTCTTTAATAATTTTCTAAAAATAATCAGTGAATAGTGGTAACCCACCTCCTAAAAGGAGAACAGATTTTCCATGGCTTTGGAATGAGAAGTTTTGAGTTAGAAATTTCCTTAAATTCCTGTGGGAAAGCAATTTACGATCTAAATGTACTAATCTTCCAACTTTCACGCCTCTTGTAAATTCATTGCCCATGTAAAATTTTCTCAACTCTAATGCAAGTTATTACAAAAAAATTTATCACATTAACTTAATATAGTTATGTGAAACAGGAATGCCTTACCACAGAGACTATTTGATTTAATAAAGACCGCATAAAAATAGACATGTGTTTGAAGCGTTGAAAATGAACCAGGTTGGCTTCATCACTTCCGACTAAGTATAACTCTCAAACCTATTAAATAATGTGTAATGAACGCCTGTCTATGGTAAAGGGAAGATGATCTGGAAATGCTCTTATGAAAACCTCGCATTCAATCATGCCTTCTTAAAAATTGAATTAACAGATTTAATTATTGCTCCACACAACTTGATGTATTCCCCAAATCACTGATTCCACGACCTGTTCTTTGGTCCCAATTGGAGAGATTGCCTGCCATCGGAGTGTGCATCTTCCGATATCCATAATTATTTATCCTAACTGTATTTGTGTCAGACAAAATCCCAGAATTTATTTTAAATTATCTGGGGTGTGCGATAGACTTACCTCCACGTGGTGCACCCTGGGCAACGTATACTCATACGGCAAAAAAGTCAATTAATCGGCAGCTGACTTCTGACTTCAACCTACTAAGACCCCACTGCATTTCATATTCAACCCCTTCAACAACACCCATCTTGCCTTTTTCTCTACCTTTGTGTCTGTCTGCCTCTTTTACATTGTGAATCGCTCTTCTGCTCCCCTTCCTCGACTTTCTGCTACTTTGATGACTCTTCCCTCTGTGAAGCCCGAAGTCAACTAAAGGGCTAATGATAGCTGTCAAAATGCCTGCCATTTGAAATAAATAAATTTTAAATTATCTTAGGAAAATGTTATTCACTTTAGTCCGCACCTTCTTGATCAAAAGCGTCAAGACCTTATCACTTGGCATTGGAAATGAATCAAATCCGTAGCAAATCAGAAAGCTATGTGAAAGTTTGAGTGTGAGATTTCTGGATATATCCTTTAACCCATCTCCTCACACGCCATGGAGCGAAAAATTTGATCAGATCTAAATGAAATGACTATGAACTCTCGCTAAATAACAACCGAAAATCCGAGATACGAGGTTAATCATGCTTGTAGCGGATTGCTACGCTAGTAAAGCCTGACCTAAGTCTCAGGAACCTTTTGGGTAGATTCTCCTAATTACTGAGTCTCCAGAAAGAGACGTATCACAGAAACGTTTATTTGTGAGTAATGTTCTATAGCAGGATTTCTATTTGAACATTGATGCAGAGTCCCACATGCTAATATTTTGTAACGGAACTGCGTTCCAGATTATAAAGATTCAAAATCAACGAATTTTTTTAAATATTTGAGGTTATATAAATTGCAAAATGTGACTGGTGTTCATTTTGAATGAGCTTCATTCAACAAATCGACTGAACTCCATTTCCTGGACAGACGCAAGCCTTGATTTTATCTTCCAATGACGTCTTTTACGCCCACCGAGGTATAGTTTGCTTTAATTTTAATTCCTATCCAGTTTGGAAATAACAGTTAAGGCAATGATTCTCAAGCATTTTGCGTTTTAATCATTTTAGAGTGAGAATACAACACAATTGATCCAACAATTTACGGATTATCTTGAATCGGCGGACCACCTGCCTATCATTAAGGAATACAAATATATTGTCGCCAAAGTTTGGAATAAAGTTGGTGTAAAGGGGAAAACAGCATTCTTTCAGACCAAAACCTCTTTTGAGCGCGTTTGTTTTTTATTAAGAGAACTTGAATCAATAGCAGGACGTATGTGCTTAGTTTTTGTACAATCAATTCCATATTTCCAAATTCTCCTTTTAGAGCATTTCCGAGGAGCTGAAAAACTTGGGCTGGCAACAAGTAGCGAGGAAATTCTTCAAATCAATGGAAAATCGGATGGAATATCAAAACGATACCTCTCGTATGGGAAATTGGGATTAAGAGAAAGGAATAAGGAGGCAACCCTAAAAGCCTTAACAAAGTCCGTCTTTTATGCCGCTTCGCCTGAGCAATTATCAGGGGCTCTTGGGATGCGGTGCCGGTATCTTCACCATCTAAAGCTCTATGATGAGGCGATTGAAGACGGGGTAAAGGCCTTGAGGGTAAGGGTGCTTGCATGCCTAGAATTATTTATTATTATTTAACGAAATTGTGTAATGAAGAATAGAGTATTAATTGGTTTAACAAGGACTCGAGTTACACCAGAAATATTAACAGATATACCTATCTGAATACATTATATTAAATTTAATGCGAAAGATTCAGTTTCAACTCATTGATTTCTACGATTTCTTTCCGGCCACGGTTGTGACTGACATCTTTGTAGATATCCATCGTCTGTGTTCCTAATGGTGTTGTCTTCGTTTTCGGACGTCAGATGTTGACTTACATCTGTTGTCTATGGCAATGTCGACGCCATTCTTCATAAGCCCCTGGTGTGACTTCGGCATTGGAGAGGAACGCTTTCGTGTTGCATAGACTAGTTTACATTCAGTGGAAAATAGGGGAACCGCATTTCGACTTCATTCCTATCTTTGATTTTTTATTTTTGTTATCAGGGAGTTAGACTGAATAATGCAAGTTTACTTATTGATGCTAAATTCTTATTATGAAATTGAACAATTATATACTAGTTAAATCTCGGAGTTTTTAAGTTAAACTATATGTTTTTATGTTAAGATGATTCATCAATAGCAATACAACGTACATTACATTTAACTCAGATAAACTAACTTTTACATGTCATTTATGAGAATAACCTCTCATTCCATGATGTGCATCACTTTTACCCAAATTGCATACGTGTTCTGTCAGTACTGACACGTATCAGATGGCGGGCTTTATGGAAGTTATCATCAGCCCTTTAGTTGACTTCAGACTTCACAGAGAGGAGGAACACCAAGGTCAGAAAGAGTCGAGAGAGGGAACAGAAGAGTGATTCATAGATGTAAAAGAGACAGGCACGAAGGTAGAGAGTAGAGTAAAGTGAATACTGTGGAATTTATTGAATATGACATACAATGGGGTCAACTGCCGGTTAAGAGACCTTTTTGCCGTATGAGTGTACGCTGCCCAGGTGCCCCACATAGAGATAAGTCTATCGCCACCCCTCCCCCATCAACCTATAGATCCAGCTGACTGGTCTCGAAAAACACGTTTTGGTCGTCACCGACATTATCACAGTAAATCAAAAGATAAAAACAAATTATTAAATAATTTATTCATTTCAATCTTTAAGCTGAAATTTATTTTCTACTTGATATATGAGTAGAAAGTTCAAAGCATTTTAACTGCTTTCTAGTTACCTTGTCCAAAATCAGAAATTGGAAAAGTTCACCTCAGTTTGGCTAGTTGCTATCATAGAAAGAAAATGCCATTTGAGTCCCTACTTCACTATACTGAAGCTCTAACGGCTTTTGTGGATAGTGGCATCACACGAAGTTTCAAGTATGCTCATAGCGTCGTTAAGGGCCTGGATGACTGCTTCAAAGCATTAGACAAAATGAGTTCGAAGCCATACGTTCCAGTGTGGAAATGCTTGCGCCCAAAAGCCCCGAGGGTGAAAGAATGGGTGAAGGAAATGTCCCCAAAATATTCAAAAGGCAATAGTAGCAGCAGCAGCAGCAGCAGCTCAAATGCCATTAACATCAAACTTCTGTCATCAACGAATTGCGCTCTAAGCCTGAAATATACTGGTACCATTGAAAATGGCTGGACTCTGGTATCAACTCGTGATGTATCCGCAGGTAATTCTTCCGCTATTTTTTTGTCAAAATATATTGGCCTCCAAGTCCCCTCGGGGTATAGACAGCTAGTATCTTCTGTCAAGGAGACTGGTGCTCTCAGTACTTCCTCTTAGCCACTTTAAATTTGCGTAAATGAAACGATGTGAACCAATATATGTGCAAACAAAGATCTCTCTACTAAGAATTATTCAAACGCCTTTAGTAAAAGGGATTGTTAAAGTATTTAGACACAGTCTAAAGGGGATCTCAGTTGGTAGATTCCATTCCAATTGCCCTTAAATTTCTCATTTTGGGACCTGCTAGGGATTCATGTCGGCAATGTTTATATTTTTAAGGCAATCAAAGAGAAAATAGAAATTAACTCTACTTTGCAAGTAGCAAGTTGACCTCATTTGTTGCCAATCTTTCGAGTACTTTTCACCCACTTCTACCCTATTTTTCTGGTCTAACTCCAATCTCAAGCATCTAATTTGGGAAAAACTTTTGCAGCTCGATAGCCAATCACTGGTTTAGTAAAGTGGTGCTAGAACACATTTATACACGCGGTAAGCTGTATATTCTCCATTAATTTAGGCGATATATTGATGGTTGAAAAGCCATGGGTCATGAGCCTTTGGAAGGAGCGCACAAAGTACTGCTACTTCTGCTGCCGGAGATGTCACAATCTCAAACCCTGCTCCGGCTGCCCACACGTATGTGCTGTGTAACTGCAATTGCTGTAATTAATTCATACTTGACTAGAATCAATGCGATATTGATTCATTCATTCATTCATAGGTGGGCTTTTGCAGCGAGGAATGTGAGGTGAATGCAAAGAACCCCGACGAAACACCCAACGGAGGAAATAAACACATTTACGACTGCCACGGCCTTTGTCCCTTAATCACTATTGGCGGTTTCTCAACGCACATTGCTTTCAATAGCCTTGCAAAGGTTCCAATGAATAAGCTTCTGGATTATATATGTTCGACGGGATCTTATGAAGTACCATTTTTCAATCTCTTCCTCCTTTTCCCACTTATGAATATTCATAATTTGTCCCTATCTTCCTTCAGGGTGGAAGAGGTCACCAGGCATTCAAAGGAGGGAAAGCAATACGAAGAGGTCCGCCTTCAATTTTTGATCCTTCAGACTACTCGTCAATTGCTTTTTTGACCACAGCCTTAGACCATCGCATTTATAATGACCTTTGGGCTGACACACAAAATGCGGTCTTACTTACGTATTGCCTCCATGTAAGGCAGTTGTATTTTCTTGTTCATTTCTTAATCACCCTGCCAATATTTTAATCCAATGAATTATCGGATGTTAGAAATTAGTGAAGAGAGTAAGTTGGGAAGTTGACAGTGTGTTTCTAGTTGTGTACATTGTCAATTGAAGTGAAAGTTAGTATATCATCTGGTAAGCTTCAGCTTTTAGATTTATTTGTTGATTAAGCGTTTATCGGTGGACATTTCACATGCTTATATTGCCACTTTTGGACTGCATTTTGAGAAGTTCTGTTAATTTTCATAAACTTCCCTCTAGACTATCAGTAAAAAGGAGCACCAAATGTGCAGCTGATTGGTTGCAAGGGGGGTGAGAATTCACTAATGACATTGTTTCAATGAGAAGTGTTAGGGAGATACTGTAGGTAGAAAGGAAGTGCCTGAAGAGCCCTACTGAAAGGTGCGATCAGTTGGATTTGGAAGCCAAGCCGTGGCCAATAGCACACCGAAGATCATATAACGAACAAGTAGGTTTAGACTAGAAGGATATTTTTAAAGAAATGAATAGTGTTTGGGCAAATCTGAGAGAGAGAGAGAGAAAGTGAACAAATTAGATTCCTCAGTTGATCATCTAAACTAAGCAATTTCTTGTGTTTCAGTGCGCTGGGTATCCAATGGAATGGTTCGATGAAAGTGAAAATACCTTTACCGACCCCTCATCAACGCCCCGACCAAAAGTTATTCCTGCAAGTTGGGTTGCAGCCTGCATGCTATACCATATTATGGCAGCGCGCATAAATGCATTCGAAATTAGTGAGTCTATAAGACGCAATCCCCCTTCACAGTATCGGAAGGTGGAAGAATTTGGAACTGCCATTTATCCTACAATTTCGCTTATCAATCATTCATGTTATCCTAATGTCAGTATCAAATTTAGTGACAGGGGAGAAGCATTTTTATTTGCCTCTCGACCTATTCATGCAGGGAGTGAAATTTTGTTGACATATGCACATCTGTTTTATCTCTTGCCCACAAAAAATCGGCGTGATTTGCTCTTTAAAAATTATCATTTCTATTGCAAATGTTGCGCTTGTGAGAATGATTGGAATGAATCCGTATTTACTGCACCGGAAAAACTTATTTGTCGAAACTGTGAGGAGGTCTTTCTCTATCAACCCGAAGGATGTCCAAAGTGTAAGTCATTGGAATCTGTGAACATTTTCAACAATTTGCGCAATAGTGTTATTCCGGAACTAGAACAAAATCAACAAGAGGGGAACTACAAGTTTGAAGATTTAAATAATATTGCAGAGCATATTAATAAAGCCCTAGCGGTTCTGCAACAACCTTCTTCCACAACTCTCCGCTTACATCATTTTCTTGATGAGCATATATGTCGTATTTACGAAAATCAAACTATTGAACAATGGGTCAATTTTAAACCTTCTCGGTCAACTTGATCCCATGATTTTAATACAATATTAAAATGGAAGTTGTCTAGTTGTTCATTCTATATCATATGATATCTAAAATGGGCACGAAATAATTCTCCAACAATAGAGAAAATATTGGTGTCTTTATTGATTATTATCCCAAGCGGTTATCGTTAGAGCAATTTAAACTTATCAAGCAGCTTTTAATAGTTGAAAGGGATTGATTGATTGAAGAGCCTGTCGTTATGTGTTATCAAGTCGACCACTTGTGCATGTGGTGTCTAAGCATTACTGTGTTTGAAATGTGACTCGAAATATGTACCCACTATCTCATAATGAAGACGATTTTCTATGGCATTTTACACCCCATGGAACTCTATATGTGTCCTGGATGTGTTCCTTAAGTTTAACGTAACTAAAATAATAGTGAAATGTTTCTTGAAGTTCCATCAAGAGGGTCAGGCCCGTTTCACTCATTCGCGGAAAGAAAAGGCTATATTTATTTATATTAAAATGCAGGCTTAATGATAGTTATCATTAGCCCTTTAGTTAACTTTGGACTTCACAGAGGTGAGCAATGTCAAAGTCAGGAAGAGTCGAGAGGTGGAACGAAAGAGTGATTCACAGGTGTAAAAGAGGCAGGCAAGAAGGTAAAGAAAAGGGTAAGGTGAATACTGTGGAAGCACTTGAATATGTCATACCGTTGGGTCATGGTAGTTTGAACTCAGAAGTCAACTGCCAGTTTATATGTTGTCCAGGGAGCACCATGTGGTGATAAGTCTATCGCTCACCTCGAAAAAAACAGTATAGAGGCTTAGTTACTCCCAAGTCGCCTGTAACGTGACCATACATAGGAAAACGGAATTAACGAATCTAGGGTGGCTGTCTGGGTGAACTATCAACTTGCAGGCAAGACAACTCGTTATGAGGACTTCTCTTACTCCGAAAATGCAACGAAACTTCTGTGTTAGTCACATTTGTCTACTCATCTAATTCCAAATGAGGGGCCCCGGCACTAATCCCCTGCGATAGATAAAAATACAGCTATTCTAATTCACCAATCTGCCAGGCTGCATTTACCAGACCTTAGAAGGTGGAGGATTTATAGGAGGCATATAACTAGCAAATCTCGGTTCGTACCCGTAAGTATCTTAATAGCTATTTTGTTCTAATAATTACATATCGCCATCACAAAGCCAAATCGTAAAGAAAAAGACGGCATCGGTTAGAGAGATTGATGGTATATTCCTCAAAAGAGTAGAAGAAGACTCGCAAACCCTATCGGATAAAGCTAAAGCGCACGTTGCACACACAGTGAACCAATTGGGAGCATAGTGTGGTTAATGGCCTGATCAATTGCATAATCCTTGGTTATAATCGCTCTGGACAGCAAGGCAGCCTTGAATGGGCACTTAGTCTGCTTTCATCACTTGTAATGGTCTCTATTCTCATCATTCATGCATCTTATGGTCTTTATGTCCTTGTTTATCTGATTGATGTATTGCCTCCAATGGAACTAGGTAAAGAGCTCTGAGAAAAGGCTGAATGCGTTGGATTGAGAGACCTTGACTTATTGTACTTGTTCTTTATGTAAACGGAAGCCAGTTGGGCAAAGGTTCCTTTAATGGCGTGACCCCTGTCAAAAGCGTCATTGCGTGAGTGGAGAAAGTGTGTGTTCAAGAAGGAGTCATTACTTCTCACATAAAGGTAGTTTGAAGAGACAGAGCAACGTGTACATTCCCTTAGGCCATTTCCACAGTGGGAATAAGGATCCAATAGAGAACCGACACACCCTTTTGGTTGGTACAAAATGGAGAAATATTTTTTTGAGGGTCTGTTTCGCTTAATCTTAACAGAGAACTCATAAACCATGAGTTCTTTGCTAAAACACTATATGTCCAAAGTTAAAAACCCGATATTAAGATCTTCTCAAACCGAGAGATCGATGCCCCTTACATTTAGTATTACATTTTGATTATATAACTTATGATGAGAAATGAGTCACATCAAAATAGGTCCCTCTGAGAAGGAATAAGTTATGCGATTCTTCATGAAAATTTAGTCATGAAAAACATTCTAATTCATTGATTGTGTAAAACTTATTTGAAAGGCGAAAATATTGACATTCTTGATTTAGGGGGCTTGAAAAGGAGTGACTGTTTTTTTTCATAACCACAGGAATATCTTTAAGAATGTTCAGGCTAAGTAATTTTGTGATTAACTGCATAGAAGTCCATTAATCCAGTAAGAGCAATGGCTATTCATAGACAGGCCTGCAACTTGAACTCTTGCCCACAACTCATGAGGCCATTGACATATTCGCCTGGGTAATATGGTAGACCTAGCCTCACTACCGTTTTAGAAGCTAATAACATCCGTATTAACAGTTCTGTAGTGATCTAAATTTTAATCAATTGGGTATATATTGCCTAAAATGATCCTATCGCATGGACATGTGATAAAGTAAATCCCTAAAAGTTGGAACCCCTTCAATATACCCCCCCCCCCAACCCCCAACCGCCTTCGCAGATCCGATGCTCCTTGTCGAACGTGTCCTTCCACCTTTCTCTGAATTTTTGCCTTGTTTCAAGAACTGCACAGCTCCACCTTATTGTTGGGAACCTCACTCTCATTTCTCCCAATATTTTATCATTGACCTGGCTTCTCTTGATCTCGTTGTGCAGTGGAGGTCGTGGTAAGGGAAAAAAATGCTGGTTCAGCCACTCCTTCAGATAATGCTACTAAACTCCTGACTTTTGTCAAGCATATAGCTTAGGTCCGTAAACTGTCTCCGCCTGTCACCTGGAAGACCCGGGTTCAATTCCCGGTCGCGGAGTGGACGCTTTTGGAGTGTGTGATAGACTTACCTCCACGTGGTGCACCCTGGGCAACGTATACTCATACAGCAAAAAAGTCTATTAATTGGCAGTTGACTTCGGACTTCAAACTACCCTCACCCCATTGTATGTCCTATTCGATTACTTCCACAGTACTCACCTCACCTTTTTCTACTTTTGTGTCTGTCTGTTTTAAATCTTTGGAACTCTTGTCTGTTCCCCCTCCCCTCTCAACTTGTTTCACTTTGATGTTCCTTCTCCTCTGTGAAGCCTGAAGTCAACTAAAAGGCTAATGATAACTTTCACATCGCCTGCCATTTGATATAAATAAATAAATAGGTTCGTAATCTACTTAAATACTGCTGTGCTCTTATTTCAAAGATCACTAACGTATCAAGAACTATCTATGCAAAATTCAGAAGAACCATGAGATATATAATGCATATCGCTGCTTAGATAGAGGAAGAAGAAAAAATCTTGGGTTTCAAGAGTACTTTATTATCTGATCTGGCAATAAAAGAGAATGCATATTAGTTTTATTCAGATTTTGAAAAAAATTATAATTCAACTGGGAGCCAACTATCTCAATCTGATCGTTTCTTATTGTATTGTGACGTAGAAAATTGGCAATGTTATGAAAAAAATCATAAAAAGAATATTACTCAAAATTTCTATTGCAGTTTAAGTATTATATTAGCTAAGAGGGTATAAGGAATTAAATTAATCAACTAAAGAAATATTGGAACAATTTCTCTCACTAAAGTAGTGGATGATAATGTCCGTCAAAAAGATCGGATAAGAATATCATTCATTGAGAAATAGTGTAAGCCCAAGAAGCTGTTTATAAATAGCGCGTTAGAAATCTTCTGCATTTCAACATTACCCCGTTAAGTTTTATCTTTCTCACTGAATAACTCATTAAGACCAAGATCTAGAATTTGTTATGTTTATGTATTGGTCATTTCATGCATTTCTTTTCGCAGAATTAACGACAAATGATTCATAAAATGGATTCAATTTTAAAACTCTAGGTCGAATTGAATTTGTTCGCTTACTTGTTGTGAGACAAAGAAATGTGGAGGAATTTGTTAGTAATGTCTCTTTTGGAGGAGTGATTAATGGAACAGAATGAGAATTAACTGTTTGGAGGTAAGTACCGAAGCTATAGGAATGTTTTGGGGGTATGGGAAATTTAAGGACATTCGCTGGCATAGGAAAATTTTCAGAGGCTGAATGAATTTCCAAATGTAAACTATTTTCGTAATTTGTAAGATTCATCAGCAGACTTAGGGGAAAGATTAGTCATTTTCCGATCAATTCTTTTACTGAGATCGAATGTTAAAATTAAAACGACACTTGGCAAAATTTTCCGATAAATTTGAAAATCATGAAGAAGAAGTCTTCATTAAAAGCTTTGAATTAAAAGCAATTACTTTAAGTATTATTGTCTTTTTGAAAAGATAATAGGATTTCCAAATTTTATAAGACAAGTTGCTAAACCTCGGATTCGTCAAAGCAGTTTTTCTTAGTTATAAGACTTCTTATGTTGTGGACTTTCCTTTATTTCCAATTTAGGTTCAAGTCAGTGGATTTTAATGAAATTTTTTCCTTCTTACAGTCGCATAACAATGGCCTACAGAATGTTTCGTTCAATTTAGATATTCATAGGAAAAATTGGAACTTAAAGATTAAGTAGCACATTTATTTGGTTATCTTTTAGTCATTACACCTATGCAAATAACATATTTTCGAATTGGTGAGGATTGCCACATCATAATTGCGTGGTTTAAATGGCCTTTTATGGATTATTTCACATACAACCCATTTACTGTCACCTGGGATTTCATAACTATCCGTTTCCCTCGAATACACGGGGTATTCTGTTCTGTTCTTAAAATGTTCCTACCTAAGATCTGAGCTTGAAAAAGGGGCATAAAATTCCGATTTCGTTTCCATTAAGAGTTTTTTATTTCCTTGTGACTTTTTGAGCTTGCTTTGCAGTCAACATATAAAATTATATGTTTTAATATTGAAAAGAATCTGATAGCTATGAAAAGTGGAGTCTAAAATTTGGTTTAATTAAGCCCTCTGGTAATAGAGCGGGTTAATCAGAAATTTTTATTATAAAATAATTATGTTGCAAAACAATTGCCGCCTAACACTTGGCTGTATGTGTCGATGTAAGTACACATATAAATATGTGTGATACTCACAACTTCTAAGGGAATTTTTAATGATAACCCTGGGCGGCTTTCCGGCTACCTCGGTTAAGATCTAGCGACATGAATGACTTAACATTTTATTCCATTTTCATACAATTTCAACAGAAAACCACACTAGTAAAGTAAATGGGAGTAATATTAAGTGATAGGCCGTGATATTAATGCGAAGGAACACTTGTTTTAGTTTTAAGCACGAATTTGTGCTATACTTATATGTTCAATGTTCATGTTTTTGACAGTTTTCTTTCGCGTGCTTGTTTGCGCGGTGATAGCCAGCATGGTCACCAATCATTATCAAATAATCCATTTGTCAAACAACTTAAGCGCATATCCATTTAAGGTGGAAATGTAGAAAATGATTTAATTATCTCAGGTAAAGAATATCTAACCCAACCTAACATTACGCTTAAAAGAGTAATTTTGTGGTATTTAATATATTTTTAACAATTAAGAAGACAAAATATGCAAGATAAGATATCACTTGGCTGTTAGGATGTTGGCAGCCCTCATTTAGATTATGCACGATTTTATTTCATCCTAAATAAAATTTATCAAACCTGATTATTGAATGATTAGTAAAACGGAAAATAACTTGAATTACAGATCATTTATAAGTTTATTATTACTGTAACTATTTCTAGTCATTTCACAATTCAGTGTTTGATTCACCACATTGAACGTTGCGAAATTTGACTTGTCGGCGATATGGACTCGTCGCCCGAAATGGACAAATTTGGGGTTTCCGAAGAGGATTATGAATATATGTTTGATCCTTTAAAACGCCGGAATTTTGCCTCCAAAAAGCAACAAATTTATGGCATTTTCGCCTCAGATTCAGATTCTGAAGTTGAAGAAAAAAGTGGAATGAGCTCTATGGCTTCCATACGCAAGCGTAAGGGTGCAAACTATTCTGGACCCATCACTTTTGTCAGTGGTGGAATTAAGGTATCTTATTATTTATAAGTTGGCCTTCATGGGAAGATTTCTCTCTTGTTAAAGTCCCACCATGGAGATTTTTCCTTTGATCAGACTGTTGAGACACTTGCCATGTCAGAAAACTTTATTTCTAGTTTTCTTTTAGTTATCATTTTAGATATTGTTGATGTTCTGGATTTAACAAGTCGCTTGTTTTTTCTATTTAGGAGGGTTCTAAACCGGCAGAAACGTTCGATATCAATGAAGATACTAATATTGAAATATCTGATGAGGAAGAGGACAAGCGTTTGTTTGCTCCGAATAACTCTGTAGAACAAACCACGGCTACTAAACCTTCAGTTACTCAGCCTCGAAGGGCTAAGGCACCTTCTTCAACAAAGGGATTCGGGTCATGGGAGAGACATACGAAAGGAATCGGTATGAAGCTTCTTCAGAAGATGGGCTTCAAACCTGGCGAAGGCCTAGGGAAAGATGGAAAAGGAATTGTCACTCCTGTTGAGGCTGTCAAACGTGTTGGAAAGGGTGCAGTTGGATCTGTTGGCTCTGAGGTTGCTCCTGCACCTCGTAGAGGTGGTGAAGCTGCACCAATCCCTGAAACCAAAGTTGATAAAGCCCGTAAGCCAGTATTTTTTTGTGCGAATACTTAACTGTTTCTATTATCGGTTTACTTGACATGCATTAGTTGTTATCTGTGTGGTTATTTCTAGTTCTTCCTTTTTTCAACGTTGCTCTAAGTATTCTGAACAACCCTTATCACAATTATGGTTTTAATCTTTCCTCGATATTACGCTTCTTTTAAAGGTTGATTACCTATAATACCACGCTTCCTCTATAAATTTGACCAATGCAATACAATGCTCAAACGGTTTACTAAGTGATTGTTTCTGAGAGTTTCTTAATGCTTTCATTTACTTTGTGTAAACAGTGTTTAGGAGAGGGAGTCTACTTTTTCAGCAATTTCAGGGCCGATGCCCCTGTTATGCCAAATAATTTATTTCTTGCATAAATTGAATTTATTATCTCTTCCTTCGTTTCTTCCAAGTTTTTTTATCGTTTCTGGGCCCTCAATATACTATCTCAATAGTAAAATTCTGGTTTAAGTAAAATATTTCGTATGAAAGTCATTCTCACCCCCCCCCCCCCCCTAGTTTTACAAATTAGTCTATTTCGTTAGATGTATCGCTATGTTTAAATTTCAGAATCTATCCCATTCGTCTTGTTTTGACGCATTTTCTCCAAATAGTCGTTTATTACTTTTTGTTTAGGGCCTTTGAGGCAGAATTAGTAGATGAAAGATAATGAATCTGACGCTCATGTTTCATATTGTCCTGTTATTCAGCTGGTCATCCTCGCTACAAAAAAGTAGACGGTTCAGGAGGAAGCAACGGCAAACGCTCTGAGAGGACGATCTACATGACAGCAGACGAACTGATAGCCAGCGTTAGTCCTGCAACACCAGCTGCAGCTATCAAATCCCACGGACCGTTCATGCAGAATAGGTGAGTTCGACGTTTTTTTCACTCTCGTTCGGAACTTATACTGGAAATGCTTTTTGAATATTTTGCACTTGTTAATTGTGGTGCTTGTTCTAAGGTTTCTACATTAGAAGTAACCTAAGGTTGATTTTGATTTACTAAAGTTCCCTCCGAGGCAAAGTCTCAATCGTCCAACTTAAAGATCTTGAAACACACAGAGATTATCAGCATCTGCAAGTACATTGTGAAAAGTAATTTTTGCATTGAGTATTCGCATTTCGCCATCCTTATACAAATGCATTCGCAGATTTGACCTTCCTTCTTTAGAGAGTCGAGATGTGTTTGCTGAGTGTTTTACTGTGATCGATTTGCTTGGTTCATTTAATCTAACAATGTGACAGAATTTTGGCTAGATTATATGGGCTCCTCTTAGTTAAAGATTGTTTTCAAAAACTTTGAAGTAACCCCTATATTTGGTTATCCGTGATTACCTGCACTTCTCAGTCTGCTGTCATTTCACTATCGCTAGGGTCGAAAGGCCTTCAAGAGTTCAAACAGGATATATTGTTCGTGACGTAGTTATTTTTGTTGGATTTTAACTGCAGGGTCTCCTTTTCGTTTTTGTATTTTTATTTCTCCTACAGTGGTTTAAGTAAAAACTGCCTGCTTGGACCCATCGAGAAAATATTAGGTTGAGATTGAAGCACTGAAATAAAGCTGTTAAATACCGCTCAGAAGATTCCACCGCCCTTCACTTTAATGAAGTATTCAGAACTAATTCGCTCCTTTTAATTAACATTTAGTTGTTGTATATATGCCCATTTTCTCTAAACTTTCTTTGTTTTCTTTCCTAGTGAATTGAGTAAGGTCAAAGTCATTGATATGACTCAACGTGAACAGAGAGTCTATGAGGGCTACGCAGAGGCACTGTCGAATTCTCGTTACGGTCGACGTATTGATGATATCGATGACGATACTTTAGATGCAGAATCGAAGAAGCGCGAGAAACGAATTGAGGGTCACTTCTTTGAGGTACCGGTGTTGTGTCACAATATCGATCTCATTATCAAAACCACTGAGGATGAGATTAGAAGACTTGATCGTGGGGCGAGATATGAGGAGGATAGGGCAGCTGGACTAGAACATGAAATCGAACGTCTTACTAAGGTAAACTCGTTATTATTATACACTCGATTGATCGGGTTTCTTTCTAATAGCAATTTATTGCTTAAGGGTACTAAAATGGTAGAATTTCATTTGGGTTCCATTATTTGTTCTTCGTATTACTTGACTGACCAACCCTAGCTATTCCTTTTACTTTAACTTCTGTGTTCCCCTACTTTCTATATTTACCAGCTGTTGTATTTAAGTTGATTTTATTATTTTTGAAAGATAGGTCTTAGAGTTGACTTAGTAAGCTGCTGCTCTTGCATCGACAGTGACAAAATACGCGGTCTGCCTAATTTTTTGGAAGTTGAGATATATCGATTATAGAATGTAGGACTACTAACTTGAAATCGTCAACGACGATCCAAATGTATGGTTAATAGTGCATTTGTCTCAGGGTCTTTCAGACACCTTCATTTTAGTAGTCAAGATGTCTTACATTCAGGTTATTTCTCCATCTTAATTTTTCGTCCAACGGAACCATTTAAGTGTGTGATGGCGGGTGACTTAAGCGTTTATATTCCTTGACTTTCAGCCATCATTTTGGTTGAAAAGGAAACAAAGTTTTTTTTTACTCCTAGACAGTTCATCTATACGCTAAAATAAAAATTGAGCAGGTATGAGAGGCTTACTTTTGGATGTCTTTTTGTAAGTCTCAAGACTGTTTTCAGAATAAAAATAAACGGAGGAATGGCCTTTGCTGCACTCCGATCAAATGTGCACTCCATATGTCACATTTTAAACACTTCACGATCCTCCCCCCCCCCCTCGAATTGTTTTTCTATACTCCAATTTTAATCGAACTTTGAACATTTGAATGAATCCACTTTTTAGACTTCTTGCTTTTCTCCTTTAAGGTGTGGTCTTTTTAAACCATTTGAATTTCCCAAAAACTTTACTACAGTCATTCTTTATGGTCTGATCTTTCCTCAATGTGGTATCATTGGTTGGTACATTTGCAATTTCCATGGTCATATATATATATATATATATATTCTTGTCAAAAATTTGAGTTCGAGTTATGGCTGATGACTTTTCTTAATCAATGCATTCTTGATTTGAAACACTTGATGCTAATTAGACCAATTGGGACTAGATTCAAGGCCAGTCAACTTAAAGTCTTATAACTCAAGTAATTCACTTGAGTATTTAGGTACTCAGGCAAGTATTCTCATCCAAGCTTTTTTAAAAGGTTGTAGAGAAAGCTGCTTTTGACGTAGACGAACTTGATGCCGCTCTTAAACTAATCAGTCAATTTGAGGCAGCCTTGAAGCGTGGCGAAATAGGTGCCAGTTCTGAAGTCGCCTCTTCCTGGGTAAATAGAATTCGTCGTGAATGCGCTGGTCTTCCGGAACTTCCCGCCTTCCTTGCCGCTATGGCTCGACCTATTTTAGACAGTCTTCTCGCATCTTGGCAGCCACTTGTGGTGAGTCGCTATCATCTTTTTTAACCATTAAAATCAAAGGTGTCCGATGAATTATTGTTCTCTGCGTGCACTTCCATTTAGCCGTATTCACTATTCATCCATTGTTTGTTTGCAGTAAGCGTGATCTAAATCAGTCATTATTTATCAACATCATGGAGCTAAGGCACAAAGATCATCAGCAAGTGTCAAGAAGCGTAAAAACGAGTATATCTAGCCATGCTTGTTCGTTTGCAATTTTCAACTATAATCATTGAAAACGGCTCGTCGCAAGAATGCGCGAGTATCTTATTTAGGCAGACTCTAGGGTAACTCCTTACTGTAAAGAGATTCGTTTTTTTCACTTTCTTCGTCAATTTTAGCCCTTTTCCTAACCGCTGGATTTTGATCTTTGGTCTACCTATTACTCGATTTACTGCTTACGAGGCCTTCTAATGTAGTTAATCTGTTTGTTTTTTTTGCCTTTATGCCTGGCAATAAGGGAAGGGTGGCGGGAATAAGTATGGTGGCGCAACACAAAAAGTTGGCTCTTTCAAAAAGTCCTTTATAGTGACTCAGATCAAATTTATTCTAAACGGTGAGCAACCGGGAATTTAGCACTTAAGTCTTTGTTGATAGTTGGCATCTGAGCAACAGTATTCCTGCCAATATTTTAAGAGCTATCTTCTTCTTTTCCGCAAAATTGCCCATACATTTGACAGCTTTGAACATAGCTGTTTTCACTCGAATTTCCTTAACACGGGAATTTGCTTTTTTATTAGTTTATGCTTAGAAATGGCCATTATAAATCGTTATTTCATTAATGTTTCCCGTTACAGAATCCAAGTCTCGGGGTGTCAGTTCTTACTGAATGGCGTGGTGCTCTGGATGATCAAAATGCCTTTGAAATCCTCCTGAAATCAAGTTGGTTGCCACCACTGCGGAAGACAATAGTCTCAGAATGGGATCCACACGACTGTGAACGCCTTCTTGTCGTATTCGAAGCTTGGCAGTCTCTCCTACCAGAAGACCTTCTACAGGCAGATTTGTTGGATTCTTTGGTTCTACCTAAGTTGATGGTAAATTGACTTGTTTTTGCAAATTATTGAAATGTGGTTAAATCTGCATTTTTAGTCGCAACACATTGTTTTTGGTTTTATGTATACAGAGATGTCACGTATAACTGCATCACTTCTAGGAAATATTTCTGCTTATGTCATTTGTTTCTTGCTTCGATTTAGATTTGTCTAGGTGGCGTTAGTAAAACGCTTGAAAGGGCTTTGGATTCAAAATACGATTGCGTAGTGTATGCCGCCTTATTACATCTGATATGAACTTTACCAACACACAATCAAATATACTCTTAGATACAAATGTATAACTTAACTGCCTAGCCTACATGCAAACAGGTGCTCACTGTCCAAGTCTGCTTTGCTGAGAGGTAAGGTACTTCCTCTATTGGACTCTCCGTGATAACTGCGCTTAATATACTATGATCCTGTTGAGGGAAAGATTAGAAATTTGGTTAAGTTGAGAAAGAGATGCCCTGTGGAAAACGCAAGTTTTCCCGGTAGATTTGTCTCCAGCTGCTGGATAACTTTTGGGATTTCTATGATCGATATAGAGCAAGATAAAAACTTCTGTTAATTACTCTGTTTTCCATCAGATATCTTCGTATCGATCCAGCTGATCTTATTAAAAATCAATCAGAAAATAGCATATGCAGGGAGGAGGCTCTCAATGGAATGAAATCAGGATGAGTTCTGAATTCATGGCGAAGCTTTCCCGTTTCAGTCCTTAGCCAAAATCTGATTTCGGTTGGGTTTCGGTAGTTTTTATTGCCCATGTCTTGTAATTCATGGTGTTAGAAGCACTCTTCGTTAGCCTCGACGGATACAATTAGCATGGAATGTGATTATTTAATCGTATATACATGTTCTGATTTCTTGGTATAGGAAGCAGTTGATGCCTGGAATCCATTGACAGATCGAGTGCCAATCCACACTTGGCTGCATCCCTGGCTTCCCTGGTTTGGTGGAGCCTCCCGTCTCGCTCCAACCCACGAATTGGTACTGCACAAATTGGCCGCCTGTCTCACCAACTGGCATCCTTCAGACGCCTCCGCGAGTTCCGTTCTCCTCCCCTGGCGAAATGTCATCCCAATGGCTCAGATGACCGCATTTCTCAATCGTAATGTTGTACCGAAGCTGGCTCATGTTATGCAAAACTTCCAGGTTAGTTCACTTCAGAGTCTTATAAAAGTGATACAGAAGGTGATTTTAATTTCAAACCTACTTGAAATGAGTATCAGGAAAGACAAGGCGTTTGGGGCTCCATGGGGCACATAGTAGAAGATTTATTTATTTATTTATATCAAATGGTTATCATAGTTATCATTAGCCCTTTAGCTGACTTCGAACTTCACAGGGGGGAGAAGGAACATCAAAGTGAACAATATCGAAGAGTGTTTTAAAGATGTAAAAGAGACAGACACAAAGGCAGATGAAAGGTGTGGTGTGTACTGTGGAAGTGGTCGAATATGTCATGATAGCTTTAACTCAGAAGTCAACTGCCGTTTTATAGACTTTTTTGCCGCATGAGTACACGTTGCCCAGGGAGCACCACGTGGAGGTAAGTCTATCCCACACCCCTTAAAGCATAAATTAAATGTGGCAAAATGCCATTGGACGAATCAATCTTCTGAATATAATTGCAATCTCCAGGCTTGGGAAGTATAAACACTCTTCTCATTGATAAGAGAGTCAATTATAAACTGATAATCAGTTTTGAGATTAAGTCTAAATCCAATGAATATGAATTCGATGAGAATAAACTTGTAGTTTTAATATTTTTTATTATGAATTTAAGTTTAAATCGGCCATCTGGCGAAATCAGCGGTATGGAGCTTAACGGTCTATTTGAATTTGGAGTAAATAAGGGTCGGTTGGCTTACCCTAATTTCTGATAACATCTGATTTCATTTCCTTCTTCCTTCAAGTCAAAATAACGTTTTACGAAGTGAATTTAAAGTCCTGGAAGCGGGATAATGGGTGAAGTCTAATGCAGTAATATTTCGTATAGTTCAAGAAACTCCAAATTAAAACCTCCAATTTACTTACAATACGTCTGATTGAAAGGAAGTTAATTGTAAAATATGCAATATAAATAGAGAAATAGTGATTGTAGTCATTTAGAATTTTTATCACCTGTTAGGCAACTTTTAATCAAATGCGCCTTTTCTAAGCAGGAAAACTCAGTGGTGTACATATACTGTGATCGTTTTGGAAAAAGCGACATTTCGTAGCTGTGCTCCCAGTGCCAGCCAATGACTGTGCCAAGATCTCATCGATTTTGTTCAACTAGCAATTAATACCCTATGCTATTTCAACACTTTTTAACATAAGTAGATTGAGAATGTTGAATTTGGAGTTAGTTTTTCACATTTCTTAGATGTGATATTTGTATTTAAGTATAGATGAAACAGTTGTAATTTTATTATTAACCAAAAAAATGAAAAATAAACACACTATACCCCACTCTGGGAATTTCGTTGCGGCAGTTAATAATATTTTGTAAAGTTTATTTTTTTATGTAAAATCAATATCTACTTATTTCCAGGGATGCGGAGCTAAGAAGGGTGGTAAGATGTAAATTGAAGCGAGAACCCCGAATTATTTATTCCTTATTAGAATTGACTATGGGCTATGAGACCTTTCCCATTTTGCAAATAACAACAAATATCACCAATCCAATGACTAAGTTAGGGGGAGGGCATTGAAATTTAGTCACCGTAAACAAAAGAATGTGGCACGTTGTATTCTGTTTTCAAGTACTATCTGATTCCAGAAATGCATATATATATATATATATATATATATATATATATATGTTCTTATAAATTATTCAAATCTTGAATCGAAATTTCAATAATAATGCCAATTAAACATTAATAAGTGTTGATTTTGTTTAAAAGAAAATAGTTTTAAATTTTTCATTATTAAATATTTCCTTTTGGCCCAACTGATCAGTAAGCTCTTAAAAATCTAAAAGTTTCACACATTTGAATAATTAAAATCAGAGGCAAGTGGGAGATTTTCTTTAAGATTTCCAACATTAAGTCAACTATTTTCTTCGTTTGTGCTCACCTTAACCCCCTCCCCCACCTCCCTAAGGTTTCCCAAATTTTGATGCTTTCTCAAGATTAAAAATTTTTCTTAAAGTGCCAATCAACCGTTAAACATCATAGAATGGAATTTTGAGACTGCATTGTTTGTATTAATAGAAAGTAATGGTTAGCAATTTTGCCACAAAATATTCCATCTTATTTCTTTGTAAAACCATCAATCGGCTGCCAAGTTTTGGAAAGAAAATTAATTTTCCTTTAAAATTCATATGCCGGCAATTTCAATAAATGTTTTATAGTTGTAAGGTTAAAAAATTGGAGCCCTGAAGCTACTTTCCAATTTTATCTTTTAGGTAATTAAAGTGACCTTAAATTACAAGCAAGTCGGTACGGTAAATCTGAATATTGCATTCTTTCATCACGCTTAATAAATTATAATTTAATATAAAATTTTTTAATACTCTTTGAAAAGCGAACACAAGTGCTAGCTGAATAAAGCCTTGTACTCCAAGTTCGATTATTGAAGGACAGGGCTTCATCATTCTGTGACAGGTTTGTCCTATGTTAGCAGAACTTTGTTGCCCTGGGTTTTAAATATGTTTTTCATAAGTATTTCCAAGCAAAGTACGGAGTTAAACGTGTTTCAGTTAATAGGTCTTAGTCCGAGGGCTTGGGTAAATTAAGTCCAATCATTGAATTGCATTCTTCCCTTGCAAAAGTTTACTGCGAAGTGACATTTCGATTTTCGAACGCCTCGTCTTACGATGAACCAGTTAATTGGCTGGTTTAGAAAAGTTTGATGCGAACATCCCGTTCACACACTCCTCTCGTTCTGGTTTCTTTTGTTTTCTTTTTCGCTCTTCCTTTTGCTACTTGGGATGTGGAGGACCGTGTGATTGGCCGCTAGCTGTGTTGTAGCTTGTCCAATTAAGTTATTACCCCTGCTTCTACATGAACATCAAAGAGATATGATATATGTCAATACAGCATCATTATATTCGCTTACTCTTGAGCCTAAATCCGAATTTGAACTGGATTGCTCACTATTTCTCCTCCATACTTCGGGGTTACTACCAATGACCTCACTAAACCATTTTACATTCAATTCTGGAATCCTACTACTGCAGTAAATGAGGAAATTGTTTGAGCTTAAACAAATTGGCACACAAATTAATTAATATAAACTGGGCGTTATCAAACATTGGACACCTTAATAACTAACCGGTATCCATTTGAATTTCAAAAATAAAATATATCCTCAACTCTGAATGTGGCATTTAAAATGCATAGCACTCATGATTCAAAAGTCTGAACTAGTTTCGTGTAAGCATCGAATGTAGAAACAAAAAATGCTGAAAGTTTGGATATCGCTGTTATAATTTATCCTGGTATTGAATTATTCCGGTTTGTATATATATATATATATATATATATATATATATATATATATATATAT